CACTTATCTTCAATGACCGTGTATGTCTTTTCTTAGTGATTATGTATTGATTGTTAATGACCAGTACTTCTTTTTTTTTGCAGTTTGTGAATAAAAGGCGCCACTCGCAGCACTGACGCACCACACGCCGTGACTCTGAAATTGGAGTTTAAAATTTTCGGTTTTGGGGGGGACTCCCCTCTGTTAAAATGGGGTGGACATAAGGGTTTTGCGTGTAGAGGGATATATCATTAGCTGAAAAACAGTGTGATATCTAGGTGATAACAAGGGTAGCAGATTCATATCACCCTATTTTTGAGCAAGGTGATATTTTCGTAAAAACCAAGTAAGTTACAGCTATCACACTGTTAAAAGAGTATGATATATAGCTTATGCATGGGGGTCGCTCATATCATATATGTAGTCGTGGTTAGGTTCTTTATTGCATTACATATGGACTGGATATTATGTGCAGCTGATTTCTTTACAGAGGTCCGCATATGCATATCTTAGTGTGTAGGTAGGTGTAGTTATAATAGAATGACGATGACTAAATGGTCTGTCTAATTGATTTGAATAGTATATAACTATTTACGGTATGGTTGGATGAACTAATTTTATTATTGTATGATCATTGACATAATTTATACAAGCAATCGAGATAATCAAAAGGGGGAAAGTTCTATTGTAATTGAAGTATGCTATATTGGTTAGTGGTAAAGAAAGGAGAGCAAGATGCAACGAAGTGAGACATCAAGGCAGGATGAGTATTAAATCATATTAATAAATTATGTGGTAAACCACAATTTTATTTATTATTCTTAATACTGTCAAGCGTTCAATTAAAAATCTAACTTTATTGATTTTAAAATGAACTGGGCGTCGTCGTACCTCTTAGCCCGTGTTAATTTGATTATAAAAAGATATAACACTTTAAAAGGTTTAAAAAGGTTTATGTAAAACCTTAACCTTTTAAAGAATTAAAAAAAAGTTAAAAAAATAAATTTAAAAGTTTAAAAAATAAAAAAATTATAATATAATTTTATTATTTTTTCCTAAACATAGTTAAACAATGATATATCCTTGATTAATAAAGCCTTGTAAGGTTTTACAGTTAAGGATTAACCCCCGATGGGTGGATCGTAATGTGCAGATGGAGACTGAATGGGACACAACATAAAGAAGAACAGTAGTAATAGAGAAAGAGATGAAGCATATTAAAAATGACATTCAATATTTACCTTCAAGTACTGCTACTAGCATCATATACAGTTTTGTAATGACCGGTCAAGTAGATATAGGCCTCTGTAATGAAAAGGAGACATGGGCAACATATAGAGGAGCAAATGGCGTTGAAAAACGTTAGTATTCAAGCCTACTAAATGTTTGAAAGGACCATAGAAGAATAGTAATGGAGAGAAAACTTACGATGCTCCTGTCAGCTAATGAGCAATATAGGTACCCCCTCTAATTATAGATAGAGTCACGCATCGGACCTCACATTGTACCTATATATAGTTCAATATCTGAATTTTTATATCTCCATTTCTCTAAGCCACAGCGCAGAAATTGCAAGAGAACCAGCCATTTGAAGCTAAGAGGTCAGCTTTTGTAAAAGTTCACATTTTTTAAAATTTGAAGTTTTATATAACTAGGTTTAATAGCTACAGAAACATACTACTAAAAGCTATATTATAGCGAGATGTGTTGAGCTCAGAGAAATACTAGAAGATAAGTAATCGTTACTATGATATCTAAGGGATAAGGGTATATTTGATCGAAATTTCAATTAGAGAAAAATATAAAGCTCAAGAGTTATCAGTAGTAAGTACATTAAAAGTGACTAATAATAATTGCATTTTATAAAAGAACCTTGTTACATGGGAAAAAGAAACCTTGTTATATGGGAAAAAGAATGACATATATGGGAATGTAGATGACAAATATCAATCTGTGTGAGAAGAATGACATAATACTGATTACTAAATAATATTGCTGTGGGAATAAAAAGAACACTGTAAGAATATAAAAAGGACCAAGTATAATTTTTCCAACCAATATCTCATCTTCCTCAACTTTATCCATTTTTATTATACCATGTCTTTTACCCACCCTAATAACCAATTCCCTTCTATAAGGAGATTTGCCAAGTTGATTGCAAAGCTTAGTGATGCTATCTCCTGAGGGTTTCACTTTATTTTTATTTATAAGTAATATATGATAAATAGTTTTGAAATAGCTTTCTGGTCAAAAATGGTGCCTTCAATGAAACAATGTACTGTGATAATGGCTCTGAGATGCATATTACCTGGCCTCCAAGTCAAAAACATCCTAGATGGCGCTGCACAAAAGCCTATTGTAATAGGGCTACAAAATCTGTTAGCAAGGGGTCATACTTCCATAGTAGGAAGGCAGACTTACATGATATCCTATAGACCCTACATGGTTTTATTGCTGGTAATTCGGTAAAGGCTGTTGTATCCAACATGATCAATAACACATATTCTTTAATCGGTCATTAACGATTGCTGTTATTTCCCTCATAACCTCACTTGTGCGGACATTTCTTTATTCATACACATCTTAGTGAGACACCAATCAGCTATGCTCAGGAAGAAGTCGTCATTATTGGGATCACGTAATTCACAATAGCTACTATCTGAGGCATTTACCCGGATGTACCTTTTACTTATGCATCATACATTACTTAATCCTATATGATTGATTTATAACATCAATTCATTCGTTCAATGCACACGCTGTGGTATCATAGTTGCTGAGGATAAGCCATTTCTTTTAAATAGTGAGAACTTTTGTTATCATAATAAGCCAGTTTTAATTCCTATCGGGTCTCGTTGACTTATTCTGTCTCTTTTAGTTTATTAGATATTACAAAGGCTTTGACAAAGGTGACGGAACTTGGCCGCCGTACAGTTGCACAGATCATCTTTGATGTTTACCAGATCATAGATAATGATATTACAGATGATGATATTACTTTGGGTAAGTTTATATTTTTCTTTTCTTCCTTAATTTAAAAGAAACTAAAAGTTTTTATTAGGTGGACCTAGTGTAACCGAGATACAGATTGATGAGAGCAAGTTTGGCAAGAACAACTACCATCGTGGCCATCCAGTTCTACGTGTTTGGGTCTTTGGGATGGTAGAAAACCGGTCTGGTCAAGTAGGAAAGGCCTTTCTTTGTATTGTTCCATATAGAACAGCTGATACATTGATTCCATTAATCCAACAATATGTCCGTCCTAGTACAAGAATCATTTCAGACTGCCATCGTCCTTATATGAGGTTGTGCCAGTTGGGATATGATCATGTAGCAGTAAATCATGATGTTGGTTTTGCCACAGTAAACTACAGCAGAGGGAATACAGATGGCGATCAGCTTTTCAACTCCAATATGATTGAAGGTATAATATTCTCTTTATTGATTTTTGCTTTCTTATCTTCTTAGACTTACTTTTTTTGTAATAGGATTTTGGACAGCTGTAAAACGTACTATTGATGCTTGTCCTTGGAAACTCTTAGAGTTCTTATGGCGCCGTAAGCATCAGAACCAGTGGCAATCCCTCTTACAAGGCTTGAGTGATATTCAGTTTGAAGAGGGTAGTACTTCTACTACTTCTGTTAACCATGAGGATATTGCTACTGATTTGCCTACAAGAGCGCCTGGTGATTACTCAAGATATCATAGTTCTAACTCAGAGGAAAACAGTGGTCAAGATAGCATGAGTTTTGTTGATCTTGCTGATTACAGAGATGATGGGTTACTTGATCATATTGATTATGACTCTGATTCCACCAGTGCTGGCATTTCCGATGGCCCCTTTTTCCGACAGTGTCGGAAATGGGTCGTAAATGATTTCCGACGTTGGTAATGTTGGAGATTCATAAGGGTGATTTTCGAACTATGAATAAAGAGTAATTTTATATTTTAGGACACACATTGACGTTAAATAAGTAATGTTATTTATATGATATCTGTATAGAAAACGTTAAAAACAGTCAGCAATTCATGCATAGTGTATCTTGGCTGCAGCCTATATTGACCACAGCATGAAGTCCATATACCATATCGATAATCTCTCAAACATGGATCACAATCGAGAATAACTCAGGACCAACCATTATCAGTACTTCGTTTCAATCCAATATCGATAATCTCTCAAACATGGATCACAATTGAGTCAGCTTCGTTTCTATCTAGTTTATCTGAGCTGAGCGCGTTGTACCTATCAAAGAGCAGATACCAATCCCAGCACTGACAAAGGTGAGACTTCACTAAACAAGGAACACACTGATCAAGGCATAATGACTCTTTATAATCAGAAGACAACGTCCATTATCTTGACCGCCAAACTCAACCTTCCCATCCTTCTTCATCTTCGCAACATCTGAAATCCTGCATGTCTGCGATCCATTCATCAGTTCATCCAAACGGAAGCCTAGACAGCATCTTCAATAGTATATAAAGGGTTGTGAGTTCATTCAATAGAAATCATCTCATATTTGACTCTCACTGTATTTCATATTGTCTTTTATTTTTACCTCTTTTCTTTTATTATCTATCCACAACCCACATTTATCACAACAATTCATCATCAACTACGTACACCACATTTCCATCTTTAACTTCATATTTTTATAAGAACCTACTACATTCCGACATGTCCAACAACGCTGAACGTACTGGCTTAAACTCTTCATCGCAAACTGCTTCTCAAGCTCCATTGGCCGGCCGTAGGGCTAATACCCTTACATCAGGATTTTTTGATACCTTTGATCAATTCAAGAATGGAACACCCGTGGCAACTATGTTGTATGCTCCGGCGAGCGGAAAGCAATAATAAAATTTGCACAGGCAGAAGGCCCTTGAAGCCCGAGGCGGTGACTGCCTCTGCATCCTCGGCTAATTTTGAGCACTAGCTCATTGCCAATCCCAGTCCAAAAAAATCGAATAAAGTAATTATAGCACACCATAACAACTTTTAATCGCTGAAATAGATCATGGACGTGCAACAAACAAATGTTCCTTCAAAATTCGTTCGAGAAACGACCACTTACCAGGCCTTCATACACTTGGTTACTAATGGCAGCCCAGAGGAAAAGCAATGTCAGTCGTACACGTACAAAATGATAAATTAGTGCTAATAAACAAATTTACAGATTGGGGCAGCTTCGTTACAGGTGATCGATTAGCTGCTATGGGTGCTGCTGATCCGGTTTTGAAGTCGGCCTACGACACCATAAAGAAGGACGAAACGCTCATGACTGACCTGAAGAAGAAAGCCTTCGAAATGAACGTTTTTATCGATGGCAGGACGCAACACCTCAAGGCTTATCGCCGTTTGCTGCGCAAGGTCTTGGGCGAAATGAATACCAAATTTGGTATCGAGTATTCGCTTCTTTTGAACTCGCCTGAAGAAGACTACATGGAAATGGCCCCGATGTCTTCGCCAGGTACATTTTCAAGTTTATAGATTATAAAGTATTGCTTGATTTATTTATGTTACTGTTACAGCTGGCCATAGAGCAATGGATCAAAGATGGCCCAGTCTCTTCAACAAGCGATTGACCAGGAAGAGAGGTATATATAAATAATGTTTCTGATTCGGTAGACATACAAATCTCTAATTATAAGTATATTTCTTGAAGGCCACATCGATGATCAAGATGAGCGTGGTAATGATAAATGTTTTTTACTCTCTATGCAACATGATAGCTAACCACAAGTTACTAGGTCCTAAATATACATGCCATGCTAATGAACTGAATGGTCAAATCTCGAACCTAACCTAAGACCTGATCAAAGGTATTATCATACTACTTATTAAGATATCCCTCTGGTATATTTATTCTTCGTGTTTATTTTGTTAGTGGTGCGTGGCATGACGAAGATGGAGGTTCAATGGTCTAAGTTCCGTAAAGTGGAAGGATTTGAGAATCACTATCGCCATACACAATGGCAGGTAGAAATCAAGGGTTGGGATTTCGGATCTGACCCTCTCAAGAAGCCTAATGCTATGCAATGTGATAAACATGAGTTGCTCGAGGCGTTGAAAGCGGGAACTATTTCCTTTATTGGTCCTGCAAGACCATCTGGAGGTAAAGAGTGTCTAATAATTTTATAAATGACCACCTAACAAGTAATAATTCATCCCTATAGTGACGTTCCCAATATTGCAGGAAGAACGACAAAAACAATAGATATCTCGCTCGCTCCCTTTTTCACTATGGCCAGGGTTTAATTAATTCTTATGTTTTTGCTAGAATACTGACAGATTTTCATAGTGAACTTCAATACGTTCAGCTGCTGTGGATAGCACTGTAGGTACCGTTTTGGGTTGACAAATTCCCATCTTCTATTAAATAGGGAAGGGTGCTTACGATTTTAATCCCAGCTAAAATCCAGATTTGGAAATTTCACTTTGTAACGGTCATGCTTTTTTAACGTTACACGTTCCTGAGAGACTTGGGTAAACTTCAACTTTGTGTCGTCTTCCTAGACTATTACCACATTGCATTTCCCAATATGAGTTCCGAAGAGGTGTACTACTTGATTTCATCTGCCATCAACGACATTTGAGGTCTTTCTGTAAAAATCGTTGAGCATTTTCCACCGTTAGCCGGGATTCTGACAGACTGCTCTAGATGAGCTACAAATTTACTAACTATTTTTTTCTGCACATTTCTCGACAAAGCAGTCGACCGATCATGCCTGTCACTGTGGCTCGGATCGCAATGAGCCATGTCCAGTGCATTCTTGCAGTGTTTCAGTAGAATAGGCAACGCATATTTTAACCATGTGTATTTGAATATTACTGCTGCAGCAGTTTGCTTACAAAGCTACAGATAGTTCGTTTTTGTAAAAACTTTTGCGCCTACGTTTTGTATCTGTGGCTCGAGCACCCATCGTAGGCGGTAGGCGTAATCATAGAGAATGCCCACTTAACCCTATCAACTGCGGTACTGTGTACTTACTAATTTTTTGGTGATAATGCAATTTTGCTGAAAAGATTACAAACAAACCTCCTCCAATACTCGCTCTAGCTACTACCTTGCCACGATCACCTGTGCCTATGATCAACAGTTCGCCTCCACCAACTTCTCCTGCTGTCGCTGCCCCACCTTTTAGAGCTTCGGGTTTAGAGCGGGGCAGCGCCCTAACGGGAGGGTCAGCGGGAGGGAACGTCCTGCAAATATAATTATCAATGTCATATTAGCAAAAGCATCTAGATCGTAACAAATAATAGAATTTCGGGTCTTTGCTTTGGTAAGTAAGTAGGGCGAGCAAAGCGAGCTTTGTTTAGGGTGTACGGTCACATCTTTAGTAGGTAGAGCGAACAAAGCGTGCTTATTTTAGGGTGTAACAATCACATTTTTAGTAAGTATGATAGAGCGAACACAACGGCCTAGGTTTAGGGTGCAACAATCACACCTTTCATAATGTCCCAGAATTTCCACCTCAACAATTGTCCAATACCCGTTTCAAAAGCAAGAGAATTCCACCTCTAAGATTCCGACCTGTAAATTTTACGAAGAAACTGAACACGATCTGTTCAGTTGCGAGGATTGCCCGGGTATGGGACATGAATCGTCTGAGAGTTCGGAGTGCATTAACTCGAGTAACTGACACAGTAATCAGCTACATAATCTTAATCTGAAAGAGGTATTGCCTTTAGGCATTTTTAGTGCAGTGATGACAATGACTTCAAGACCAAAATTATAAAAAACACCATTCTCACTCCTGTCAAGCAGAACAAATTTTCAGCATTGTTTGAAGGTAAAAGGGGGGGTGGTAGGGGGCATTGCCCCCACCTAGGGTCTGGGGCAGAGCCCCAGTAAACTGGTCCGTAGAGGACAGATGCTGACACGCAGCGAAGCGGAGGGGCTCACATCGTCCGGAAGCGAAGCGGAGGGACCAGTTTATATATTTTAATAAGCAAAGGTACGTTCTATATGTAGCTGGCTACTAATCGGTTACGCCATGATTCCAAGCAATATGACCAACGAATCAGACTTGTGATGTTAATCCAACATCCATATGAGAAGTGATATAAGAGTTTGTATCGTTCATATACAAGTTGTGAAATGTCATAAGAATACAAAAGCATTAGTCTTATCCTTGCCTATGGTTGCTCTTACTGAAGATCAAAAGTCAATAAAGATTTAGTTCGACGAATGTATGTGATAACGAAAACATACTAGGATAGCCAGGCGACACAGTAAAAAGGCAACCTAGATAGATGGTCCCACAATAGGGAAAGGGATTTCTGTTGTGTTTTTTAATAATGCTGGCATCACAATGTTTTGCTTAAACAGAAAAGTTCATAGACCCCCTACATCTGTATTCATGCCGCACCTTGATTCGTCTCGTTGCTATATACTCATATCATTATTTTGTGTGCAAGACTTGAATTTTCCGTGGATCTGAAAAATTTTAAGTAGTCACCAGATATAAGAAAAAACGCTAAGTCGACACATGGAGGGAGAAAATAACGAAGTCCTCAACTTGAAATAAAAGCGGCCAAGTTATATATTTATATAAATATTAAAATCGACTTTGGTGGTTTGTTTCGTTAGATGTGTTGTGCTCCTAAGTCGTTGATGTTGACCATGAAGTCTCAAGAGACTGGGAGACTTGGTTAATGTAACGGGCAGCAATGGGCATATAGTTACTTGCATTAACTTTATCTGCTTGCTCGGATAGTTTCTGGAAGGTCACCTGGAATCTATTACAAAGTTAGTAACAATATGGATAGCGCACATCATATATATTATATACCTTTCCAAAAATTGCTGAAACAGCTCTTCTTGGGATGGGCTTGCTTCTGTTTCTGTAGCGGTGGAAGTGGGGACAGCAGATGACCGGTGCACAGGTGGCAAGGAAACATTTTCTACCCTATTAAGCAAATACATGCGTTTGCATGTTGAACCTCGTTGGATGAAGTCAGGGCAGCGACATTGCACTATAGTATTGTCTTCAGTAGTAATTATGGTTGCTCTCATTTCGCTCCGAACAGAGAACACTATACCCTAATGTAGCAATGGAAAATACATTTTCCGTTCTCCTTCCAAAAGAGGGCTTCTCGGAGGCCTCCAATTTTGGTAGTGGCTTCTCCGATGGAAAGGCCTCCGTAGTGGCTCGCTCGGATCGATATAAAAGGAAACTGTCACTTTCATAAAGTAATAAAAGTATCGAAAGAAAAATACACCCTCTATTCTTCATCTATTTTAACAATATTCCACTATCAGCCATCATTCGCTGCCCAACGCACAATCATCTTGAAGAAAAAAGACGTCGTCGAGCAGCATTCATCAAGCTCTTGACGCAACTTGTAGCACCCGCCATAGAAATGCTTCCTTCGGTCAATGCGAACATCGTCGCAGCTTACGCTGGTTCGCCGCATCATTTTCGAGCAGCCAAGATCCCAAGAATTCACAGCACGGAATATTGGACATTGACCCACTCGAATCTTCGCGATGACGACGGTCCTGGCAGCTATAAATATCATTACCGCATGCGCAAATCCACATTGGAATGGCTTGTCAATACTTTGTCTGTGCATCAGGAATTTGTGTCAGAGTCATCAAGAATGACACTAGCTTATATTCAAGTCTGCTGCGTACTATGGCGTTTTGCAAATACTCACATTGGATACAGAGTCTTTGAGACGCAATTTGGCTTTTCTCAAGGATTGTACCACAACTTTACTGTGCGATTCATAAAAGCTATTTGCGACATCCATGGCTCCAAGATCAAGTGGCCACGCTCTCCGGAAGAAGCCCGTGAAGCTTCCAACGCCTTTTCTTTGCCCTCCGATTTACCTACCTCTCGAGATGCCTCAGCAAGGCTGCAAGGGGCGATTGGAGCTATGGATGGCAAGCTCGTGGTGATCCACAAACCAATGAAGCAAGGTCAACGGTACTTTGACTGCAAACTGCATCACTCGATAAACTTGCTTGCTGTGTGTGCTGCAGATGGGCGCTTTACTTTTAGTAACGTGGGTCAATCAGGTACAGTAATCTACAAGAGATATATTAATGTCTTTAACGTACACGTTGCTGACTGCAACTGCATCACAAATATATGTTCACTACGGTGAACTCACGACGCCCGCCTTTAATAACAGTGCGCTCAATACCAGACTGCTGAGTGATCCTGAACAATGGTGTCCTAATGGAACATACATTCTTGCTGGTTAGTAGTCCTGTACTTTTGATGTTCTACAGCTTTGCTTATATTCTGCATTTGAACCTATTCATAGATTCTGCTTTTCCTCTGCGGCAAGCAATCATAACGCCGTATCCTAGCTCATCAACTGATCCAGCGGAAAAGCGATTCAACAAAGTCCATTCTTCAATGCGAATGGCTATTGAGCGAGCATTCGGTCGTCTTGTTTCCTAGTGGAGGTTCATGCGACATTACATGTACCTCATGGATCATACAAACCTGACGCTGGTGATTTATGCCTGTTGCATACTCCAAGATATCTGTATCGAGCAGCTCGATCTGCACTCTGACGAACTGTTTCCATTGAACACAGAAGAGGATGAACAAACCGGACGTATATCAATAATAGATACTGATAGACAGTCTAGTGCAAGAGAAGACAGTACAAGGTTGTTTGCACAAGGGCGTCAGAAACGCGATATGCTTAAAGAATCATTGTCCTCAAATCAATAAACGTGATACCTTATACATTGCTCCAGTAATCGCTCTATATCTTTTAGATATTGACGTGAAGTGCTGCTTGGTACTAAAAGTTCGCGTATAAAATAATTGGGCATCTTTTCGTAGCAGTTATTGTCTGTAATGGCATGACTAGTTTTCTTCTTCACATTCTGTAAAGTGCAGTAAAGTGCTATATTAGAAGATATTAGTCATCACACAGGGTATTCTAGATACACTTTTAACAATTCTGAATAAATGCCATATTATAATATGAGAAAATTTATTGTTCTTCTTCATTATTAATACTAGGCTCTCCACTTCTATTTGTGTTTGTAGGGCTACCAAACAAATCTCTTAGTGTCTGCAAGTACATATCATGCCGGCGGTCTTCTGCTTCCTGCGCCTCTCGCGAACGCCGGTCTTCTGCTTCCTCAAACCACTGGAATGCCTCGCTGATGCTGGCAATGAGGCGATCGGTTTGCCGATTGGCATTCTCAAGGACAAGCTCTTGAAAGGCCGCTGTTCGTCGTCGCTGTGTGGGCCGCTCGCTGACATCGTTATCGTTATCCCTTTCTCATTGGGTGCTATTGACAACGAGGCCATCGAGGGAATCCATCGTGGCAGGAGGTACAATTGCAGTATCAGTTCCCACAATTCTGTCTACAGCGTCGTAGTAGCACCATCGCTCCTGACCTGAAGGGCCGTTCTTACCACTGTTGCGAATTATAGCCCTAACATCACGATATTCATCGACCAGATCTTGCCATTTCTTCTGCAATGCTTCTTTACTTCGACCCAACAAATCAGCTGCAACATATTCAGAAAGTATTTCGTTCTAGATGCGGCCTTTGGCTTGCGTTTTAATGACAGTCTTCAGTCTATCGTATCTAGTTCCAACAGCAGTAATGAGAGCGTCGATGTGAGCCTCGTCCCATGTATGGCGTCGTGTAGAAGTACGAACAGGTGTCTGCGAACCAGGTGGAGTTGATGTCATGTCGTTGCTGCCATCATTGTCATCACCATCAATGGCCGCTGATGCAGGCAATGCATCTTGAACCTAGGATTCTTGTGCTTGCATCGGTGCTTCTGAATCTTGCCGTTGCTGTGTCTGCTGCTGTTACTGAGGATCTGATGATGAACTGGCGGGTGTCCACATCAAGATTTGAAAGTTGTTGTGGTTGTTGCTGTTGTTTGGTATAATAGGTATTAGAAAAAATAGAGAGGCAATGGATGAAGTGAATTATAGAAATTTATTTATTAGCTTCTACTATATTCACAGCGTATATATATATATATATATATACAGTCGGGTACAAAGTTTCTTATGGCAATCGCGTTGTTATTCATGCAACACCTCGGGGTATGTACAGAAAAGGAAGTTTCTCGGCGCGGTGCGCCTTTATGTTCGATCCAAGTAGAGAGGACTTTGAATTCTTGCAAAACTATTTTGGGTTCTCTGTTCGGAGCGAAATGAGAGCAACCTATATACGAGTCGTTTTCCGGATTTGTAAAAATCTAACCCTAACATGGCCACCATCCTGCCAATCTACATAATCAAATGCAACAGTATCTACGACATTCCCAGACAGTATGCAATTTGAAGAATAAAATATATTCTTTATTCATTAAAAATACAATCTATATATCTAAATATATGTCTATGTACATGTACTTATACTATCCTAATTACCAAAACTTACCTGGAATTGCAGCTGCAGCATCGTAACGCGCCAATTCACCTTGATTGCTGACTATTGCTTAGAACTGGAGCTGTGCTTGTACATGGGATGCCATCACATCCGGGAATGCATTATCCCAAAGGATGTACACGAGGACATCCGCACGTGACGTTTAAGTTTTCCAAGGTAAGCTTCTTTCAGGGTACAATGCCATGATTCAACGTAATTGTTTGTGTTCATATGACCTTGAAACTGATAAAAAATATAATAAACACTTTAAATATCACTACAAATTCTACTTACTTGGATCAGTGCTTGAACACCTACCTGACGCTACGCATTACTCCATTTTTCTTTCTTAGGTAAATACTCTTGGTCAAAATAAACCTGAAGAGCAGCCATATCCCAATCCTCTTCGTATTCCATACAGAATAACTGCAGCTCGTCGTACGCCAGCTCAAATCCCTCTTCAGTGGAAGCTCGTAGCATATCATCCAACCTGTTGAAGGCTTCATCCTGCATCATCTTCACCTCACGCGAGTGTGTTAAATCACCTGGACGAACAAACACCTTCTTCGCAACATTTTTACGCCAAGCACGTTTGATATGCCAATGGCAAATCAGTACTTGCACGTCGTCACCATAAGCAGACAGGATGCCAGCCATTTCGGTATCCGAGTTATCGATCATAATGCACCGTGGCTGATAATGTACGTCTTGCTTCAGCCATTTGAGCCAGAATTCGACAGGGTACTGCGAGTCCGAGTTCGTCAACATCCAGCAAAGTGGGGCACCTTTTCCTGTCTCCTGGCAGCGAGCAACAAGTGTATACAGGTAGCACTGCGATTATACACCATCTATACATGTGCCATGAGTCGAATCGAGGCAAACAGTACCGCCATTGATGTTAAGCTCCTAAATAAAATAGCATAAAAAAAACAAGGAAGCGGATACCATATCAATAAAGAGCTTCATTCTGTATCGACTCGTCGAATTATCATGTTCCTGTTTCTTACCGTCAATTGCTAATTAGACATAAAAGCGAGCAGAAACATGCCATCTTGGTAGGTAGACAAGTTCTTGGATATCCAATGGCCATTTTCTTCCTCGATCTTGCTGCCCCAGAGAAGAAGGCTATCCTCAAACATGGGGGAGAGATATGACCGCCTCTTCATAACATTGGTCATCGCATAATAAACTTCTTGATATGAAAGGCGCAGCAAATGAGGAATGTTGTTAAATCCCTAGAGAGAATCTGACCTAAACGGTTCTTATCAAGATGAATCATACTCTTGATGTTAGTCCACGTCAAATCCTGTTCTACCAACCGCTCAATCAGCGCTTTGGTTTCCCTTGATATAGGGGCAGTGCGCATATCATCAATACTGTTTGGCTGATGCCCTTGGTGCTTCCAGAAGTAATTGATCGTAACCATATCCGGAGCTTTACTCATAGATCGAACTTTTATACTGGCTGTACAGCCACAGGGAAGGCGACCATCTCTGTTCCCCGCAGGGTTGGTAAGAGGGGCACCTGCACGATGGCAAACGAAATGCTATAATACACTATGTGCTTAATAGTGATGATTATGACAAATCTTACTGCTAACTATAGGCAACATGAGATACCTGGTTGAAGGAAATCGTTGCCGGACGACCTCTCTTAGGGGCCCTTCCCTGTTCGTTCGACGAAGCCACTTGTGTTCCTTGACGTGGGGCATCGTATGGACCAAATGTAGCAATAAATTAAGCATTACGACCAGTCTCACTGCTGTAGATTCCACTGGTCTTGCTAACAAACTTGCACGCCATTCGCTTCTCTTCATCTTCTATCCACTTCTGAAATTGCGTACGCGCCATCTCAAACTTAACAGGACAAACTGTGGAGTATGGTTGAGGCTGCTCGGTAACTTGCTTGCGGAAAACTCGGATTGTGTGGTCAATAAATAAGGACATTGGGAAAAAGGTACAATAGTAGTGGCAGTAAAAGGATCGATATAAGGCAGGCCCGCCTGATTTGTTTACTAAAAATGTTTTTTTCGTAGTCCAGGCATTTTGGAATCCGCTATTTTCTTACATTTCTCTATTTTGTGCCTATTCTGAGTTACATGACTCATAGTGATTGATCGATTTTCCTTGTAAAAGCTTTGGTGGCTTAATAAAAATAGATATTTTCATTTCAATACTATTGTCCAACATGGCATCAAGCAAAACTACATGTAAATATCTCTTATAAAATATCCTTGATTTTTGGGAAAGCTTGCTCATTAAATTCAATAAGTTGCAATACCCGTAGCAAGGCATATGGCCAAAAATCGTCTCTCAACAGACATATACGCCTGGTTCACGACCCCGATTTTCACGAAAGAGGTCATGGTGTGCAGTATGTATGAGGCCCCAAGCAAGAGCATCCAAACCGGCGAAACCTGCGCCGAGTTGATTACGCACGAAACCGCACTCGGTACTGCCGGCACCAGAATCTTAAGAATCGGCGACAACGCGGCATGGAGATTGCTGAAAACTCGCCGCTGGACAAAATCAGAGCAGATTTGCAGGTTAATTTGCAGAGATTGCTCGAGACATTTCGTCTAAAGAGAATATTTGAAGATGATATCGTCCCTGAGTTTACTGTGGCAATAATGCTTTTAGTTAAGACAGTATGCTCATTGTGCACAATAAAACAAAAACTCGTGCGTCGTTTATAATAAGAACGCGTCGTTTTTACTAAGAACTATATAAATACCGGCTCTTCCACTTACTATCATAGTGGAGTTCGCAATAGAAACAACAAGGACATTATTGTAGTTATTATTAGTATTGATTATTAGATGATGCTGCTTTATATGCAAATATGTTATATAGAATAAAGGAAGGTATGTGAGAGTGGATAATAAAAGGTTTATTTCTCTTGTTTATGAGAGGATCCTTCTAGATATTACGTTGATCTACATGGTTATATGTTCTCTAATCTTGAGAGGAAAATAGATGTTCATCACCGTGAATATTTCACCCCAGACTTAAAACTATTATTTTTGTCAATTGAACTCCTTTGCACAGATTCAATCAGTGGATACAACAGATGTTGCAGTAAAGCTCTAAGGTATGTTATCTGCAGATATAATTATACTTCTGATATACAACAATACTCCATCACAGAGGAACTAATAAGATTTGGTAACCATATATATTCCTAGGATCACGGAGATGGAGAGTGTTGTGATGAGTGTAGTAAACCACATTTATACACTGGCTATACATCAACTATAATATGCTTGATTTAAACATGAATGACTCATACTGGTATTTACACGGCTATCGGCTAAACACTGCATAATGAATGGAAAAAGCTATTCATTATAGAAAACGCCGACTTGTATTATATAGACAGGACGATGCCCCTATCGACAGGTAGCATAAATATTACCATAATGGCTTACGACGGCTTCTGATTAACATATCGACTGAAGAAGAGTCTTAATACGTCCTTGATTTGTCATTTCTATATATAGCTCACTCATCATCTGCTTTCATCGATGTCATTGCCCTACTAGCTAAAAATTTGAGAAAGTTTTGTTTTATTGTTTTACTCAAGGAATATAACACAGTCTCAAAGATACTTATCTCTTATCCCCTTTTGCTTTCTCCATTAACAAAGCTTCCCTTTATCTCAATGATTCGCGAGTAATATCAAAACTTTGATGTAGTCAACAATATAGGAACATTTATTGTTTAGATGACAGAAAGAAAACAACGCTTTCAGCGCTCTACACAGATATTGGATATGAAATATATACAGTAAGCGAAAGAGAAAAAGAAGAGTTTGCAGCTGTAAGTTCTACGCAGTTTTAGTGATTTCTATGGAGTAGACCAGTAAAAGCATAGCTCAGACCTAACAGCTATAAGCAGCTGCACAATATGAGTGAGGCTGACATACATTTACATAAAACTGCTCCTTGTGTTTTCGAGGTAACAACAGTCGCGTTGAAAGAAAGACAGTAGATATAAGCAATGCAGAGAGGAACTAAGGCTCATGAAATATAAGCTACCCAAAAAATAAGTGCTTGAAGCAGGTATATTACTTCTTGTCTATTGCTGAATGCAGCAGTTATAATTAACCTCCTAGAAGGATTTGGTGTAGCTGTCCAGGACGCAGAATCGGCTCCCATTAGTTGAGTATGCAAACATCGGGTTATCCAATACTGGCAAGAATGCCATATAGATCAACACTAGCTCTTTACTCAAACGTATGTATGTTAGCTCCACATATTGACATATACTGCATTTCCGTTAGGACACAATGATGATATAGTATTTTAAGCAGCATGGATGTTGAAGCTCCTCATAATCCTCCTCTTTCTTCCCATCATGTTTCTCTTCCTTCAAAATGAATCTAGCGTTTAATATGTAGTTTAGTAACAAGCTACTAGCTTTCGATATTTTTATTGTTAAAAAAATTGCAATTAGGAGAACAGCATCGATAATGTATATACAAGGATTTTGCTTTAATTGTGTCGTTTATGTGAAGTGATTATTCATTAAGTACAAAGAAAGCGTAAGCTCTGTACACTACACAGTTTCTGTCTAAAACGTATATTTTCCCTTGTATTTATTTATTGTCAATAAACAAGCATGTTTTTTCATGAAGGTCAATGCGAGGATTTTATAGCTGCAGCACATGAGGGTAATCATCTACAATTAATTTCAATCCCTGAAAGTAAACATAGCAGTTCCATGTTATACTTCTTATTATTTTTTATAGTGAGTAGACGTTAACGGATGTAGAGGTATAGTATATTAATTTATATATATAAATGAAAGGTCAAAAAACCGTTAATCCACTGCATAGAGTACTTCTTGTTTGATACGGTCGACGACGATGTAAACAAAAACATAAAACGCTGGATGGGCAAAAGTGTTTTTGACTTTATCACTTCTACGAGTTCGAAAGCTATATAAGCTATAAATTTCAGTCCAATCTGCGACTTGTGGGAAGGGCCTCAAGAGGGAACAGCACTAATTCGCTTTTCACGAAAACGCCTTCAAAATTCATATAATCATTTGACTGGGAACCAATTGCTTCCTTTAATCCACTGTTGACAAGCATAACATACCGAGCAAGTAATAAAAAATCGACAATGTAATCATATTATAGATTATCAAAAAATAACTTGTCGAGCTCACTGCTACAACAACTATGTAAAAGGGCAATCTATGGGAGATCTATGACACTTATCAGCACTTAGTTATATGTTATCTATCAGAGAAAAAAGAAGTGAAAAAGAAATAATACGGGTGAAGGATTTAACAACATGAATTATCGAGTGATTCAAAACCATTATAGTATAGTAAACTTATCCGAGCTTGACAACAGTGAGGTGCAGCTTCTTCATACTTCCCATATACTGTAATTGCAAACATCTTTAATTCGTCCTCTAACTACAGATCAATCTTAAGCTCATAACAACATTCCTTTCTATAATCATCTACTGACTCCCAATTATAAAAGACAACACCAGGAACTGCTTTGTTATTGTATCTTCAGCGAAAATCGCAAAGCTTCTTATTCATTTCCTTACTATATTGTGAAGATTGAGTAGTGTAAAATACTTGATGAATATACGATTTCAGTGGTAAAAACTAATGAGATTGTGATGACTCGATCAGTTGATGAAGGCAGCAATTGTGGAGGCAATTCATAAAAAAAATTGTCTTGTAAACGGAAGTATTGTATTGTACGAAATGTTATCTGTGTGGCTGGGCTTATAGATCGGATAAGTCTAGTCATCTAAAGAATTTAAACTTTGTTCTTTTTTTTCTTCTCCTCCCCCAAAACTTTCTATCCTCTTCATCCTTAATGTCACAAAGAAGACGTCCTTTGCCAGATTGGGAGCGCCATCCAGAACAGTATACTGCTGTTGTTGTGCCAACTACTGACAAACTGGGACGTACACGCTACATTGAAAAGATGGTGTGCACTAAGCACTTGGTTGGATCAGATGACTCTGTCGATCACCGCCAAAACAAACGACAACGATCATCTGCGTTTGATGTTTTTTCAGATGATATGGACGATTAAAGTTATGATGTCGAAGTGGATGGGCAAGATTTGGATGAAGTGGAATGCGTATCGCACTCGCATAAAGAAAAGCTAGAGAAGCTTGAAAAAAACTGGGAAAATGTCCTCGAACCATTAGCAAATGAGTATATTAAGTGCTATGGTAGTGGCAGTCCCCCAAGTTCCGTAGCAGAAGAGCCAGACCATGCCCTGTGCCAATGCGAGAAAGAAAAATACCAGAGAGAAGTTCTTTGTGTCTATCTTACTGGTACTATGATCTAGAACTTTAAAATTATTATAGCAAATGCATAAGATTGTCGACTTCTCATCATTCCCTTCATTAACTATTTTCTCATTACCTTTTAAGGTATCAAAAAAGTTAAGGTTACGTTGTGTCGATGCGACAAGCCCCAAGCAGTTACGCTTATGAGACACCATATGTTTCCCGCATCACCAATGTTCCTGCAGACGGCATACCGCATAAAGCTCCTCGAATTTTATAAGAAGTTGTTTATGACAGGCCATCTTGCAAACCAAGCATTCGCCAAAGCATGCGCTAAATTGCACATGTACGAGGTACATGTGCTTCTTTTCTTCATTAATTCAAAAGGGACCATGAAATAAGACAATAAGCTCATGCTTCACCTATTCGTAATCTTGGCTCTGGTAGAAAGTCGAACGACTTCGAATCACTTTTGCAAATGCTTTTTTTGCATATCTCGAGGTGCTCACAAAAGCAGAGGAGTTATCCATTGCAGAGCACCAGCACACCATCTAGGCTTACAATGATGACGCTTGCCCGGCATGTCCCAAGGTCGGCTATACCATCTGCGATTTTATACATTACATAATTATAATAGAAGTCATATTTAAGCAAACATACTGGCCTGTTGAATTGGATATGAGACTAACTTTCTTGTTACTTGCATTATCAAGGATGGGATGATCATCGCGCTAGATGGAAACTTATAACTGCGTAGACGGATGGCAAACAGTGATGATTGCAAGTTGCATGGCTCAAGTTTTTTTTGTGCAGATGCCAAGCACAGCACTTACGCCAAAGCCAACGACGCATCTTCGAAAGATCATAAGTGTGACTCCAAGTTTCGAAATGCAGATGAGTCATACGTATCCCAAGCAATACGACAGTGCTACGAGTCCGGAGTGCTTGGGTGCGTATGTCGTCACAATCTGCCATTGGAGTTCACCAACATTGTTCAGTCTGGCGAAAAGTAAGTTTATAACCGGTGATAGTATCCTTGAAAAATGTATCGCAATCATCATCTTATACATTCAAATGTTTAAAGGCACAAGTACCCCCTGTCTGTTATAGATGTGCTCATGAAAAAACATGGCACCAAAGTTCTCAAAATTATGTATGACATTGGTTGCCATTTTGAGCCGGCAATTAAAGTAAGACCACGAAAAAATAGATACGCTTTGTTTCGAGATATCTACCGACCAACTTGTGCCAGTATAATGTATCTGTAATGAGCCTTCTCATAACTGTCAATGATATTATTCTAGGAGAACTTTCCGGATTGGGTGGGGAATGTTGCTGTTGGCGTCTTCCATGCCTATGCCCATTCTATGGACTGTCAGGTGCAATACAATCCTAGATTGATTGAAGGGTTTGGCCTGACAGACGGTGAAGGAATGGAACGACTCTGGTCGTATCTATCTGGATTCGCTACGATCACCAGAAATATGTGTGCAAAACGAAGGATGCTCACGTTGATTCAAGCGATACAGAATTTCAAGAACGAGCACCTTCAATCCTTGCATAAGTGTAAAAATTTCTAATTAAAGTATATTGTCATGATAGACATCTCCTCATCGGAAGTACTGATTGATCTATAGCGCAACTACTTGAGCAACGCAAAAAGCAGGCAATTTCCGTGCAAGAAAAAGCTGGTAAATTTCTGAGTACGGACTGTCCTTGGCTGACTGATGAACAGCTGAAACAGCAATGGCAGTTGTACTGTCACATCATCCAACAAAAGCTGAAGCCTGCTGACCAAGTGAGCCCAGATGCTTACAAGGTCAAGTACATCGAGGAGCTCATGGTTCTATATGCCATTGATGCTGGGTAAGTTATTATAATGATGATGTGATTGGATGGATAGTCTTACAGAAGACAGATCCTAGTATGAAGGGACACTGCGCATTCTTCTATTAGCTCCGGCTTTGATCACTTTGGTCTAATTGCTCTTATCAACATAATCATGTTCTATTCTTTTTCAGTGCATATAAGGGCAGAATCACCAGACGAATCGCCGAAGCTAATGTGACACACTGGGAACCCCAACTCGTAGAGATGAACATTCTCACAGTTGGAGAACGATGGAAGGAAAACGATGTGCCATTCAAAAAAGCCATGAAGTTGAAGTGGTCAAATGACTACAAAATAAACAGGCTGAAACTGCATTCCCTTGTGGCTGGTCGTGCGCTTTTGCAGACGCAGTTGCACAGAAACGGGAAGAAAGGTAAGCGTTTCGGTTTATATCCTATTGTAGAAAATCTTTTCATTTGCAGCAGATTCCTACATCAGCAGTAAGTACTCCTTTGTTTTCAAACCCTATCATTGCCATTGTTATCTGATGTATAATGCTGTTAAGTGCACCATTTGAGTAAACGTATATGAAGGAACGGGATTTTTGTGAGGCTATGGGAATGTGCGATCATAGGGTGTGTAATAGGTCGTTAAGGCGTTACATTTTGCTGCTTTTTTTCGGGTTTTTTAACATATCATGGCTATCTTTCGGATCTTATAGCTTGCTATTGCTTCTATATGATGTTTGCTACATATGTATAGCTAATAAACATGTAGTTCAGAGTAGTATTGTTATGATACTTAGCTTAGAGATATCAATTGTCGTCTCAAACAATGTAACCTGCCAAAAAAATGTCGGGGACTCGCTGCAAATGATAAAGTAAACGTCGGCGATGAACCTCGTAATAATATAAGGTATTTATAGGGCACAAACTTGCTGAAAAGCTCGAGGACGCAATTAAAAATATCAAGAAAAAAGTGTTACCTCTGATAAAAAATTTAAACGAACTTTCCCTTCTGATCAATGAAGGAGAAATCGAACCGCTCGTCCCCACATTTGTTCAAACATACGATGTTCTGATCAACTTGCGGAATACGTTTTGGCAAGAAGAAGGCTCGGATGTTCCTTTCCTGGTACTTTGAGAGTACCATAACAAGAAACGTGCAGAGGAAGAACTGTCTATGCTTGAAGTAAGGCATCCTAGTAATTCGATCACTAGGTAGGTATCCGTTTTAATATTACTTTTTGTTTTACAACTAGGCTGAGGCAAGACGACTTGTTGCATACATTACTGCAAAGGTTTCCACGTTTAAAAGAATGATGGATGATTCCAATGGTCGTTTGGGCTGCAAAGTGATTTTGAAATGGCAGCTCCACTTCTATGAAGCGATCGAAAAAGCAGCTCGCAAACAGCATCTTTTGCGTGATCTTTTTGATGCCAATGATGCCAGCTCGTCCAATACAACACCTGATACTCAGGATGAAAATGTATTGGATGAGGACTATGATGAAGAGCTCCATTTTATCCCACCATCATACGAAGAGATCGAGCTCGCTGTCAATGACAATGGCGAAGAACACGAAGAAGAAGAAGAGTTTACTCTTTTTTAGGATGAAATTAGTCGACAGCACTGTTCTCCTTTTACTACATCATATCTTATAAATCAACACCTACATCAAGTTATCACTATTACCTCCACTTAAGCTTTTTATACGTTTTTATACAATACTACAAAACTTCTTTTATATTTGCTAGAATTAACATTGATGCTTTTTATATTGAGCTATGGCGAAAAATGACGTCTGTTTTTTTATTTGTAAGTTATAGAAATATATATGGCTAAATTTCAGGCCTCAGAAGAGATTCATAACGGAAAAGGTGGCGTGTACATGCTGTGAGCTTATTTTCCATTAATCCAAATATCGAGTACTGCATTGGCTAATGACTTTGTACAAGTGAAGTCATGATACGATCTCAGCTTATATCACAGCAGCTATTTCGAAAAAAAGAATTTCTTATATTGCATAAATTTTGTGTGGTTGAATACTAACGTATATAAAGCAGGTGCGTACACTAGTCAGAAGATGAATGGATAGAGCGCTTCGCGTGGGTGGCGGCGGCGTAAATCAGTCGAGGGTGCAGAGGCAGTCACTGCCTGGAGCCTCAAGGGCCTCCTGCCTGTGCAAATTCTATTAATGCTTTCCACTTAACTGAGTCGAAACACAGCTGCTATGGCTGGAATGGAAAGCGGATGTCGGACAAAAGTGCAAAATGCAAGGCTTGTCTTGAACGTAATCCACAGGGAGCAAGAGAATTTAGCAACACAAAAAAGAAGACGTTGGAAAAGCATCTAAGGGTATGTTTTATTTTGTTGTCCAATAATCAAGTGCTGCTTTAAAAACGACAATCACTAGGCACTAGAAGGTTGTTATTGTACAAACATATACATGTAGGAATGCCCTTATTTTTCGGATAAAGACAAGGCGGATCTTTGTCAAATGGAAGATATCGATCTAGTGATGATGTTTTTCCAGATAATTCGATTAGTCAAGCATCAAGTTACTCAGAGACATTGGTTCAAAGAAGAAGACTCGACCAAACCTCCATTGCCAAGTACGGTTCCTTTGAGAACCCAGATTGGTTGGCATTGTTCCATAGGAAACTTTTACTTGCCACCATTTCTGCTAATTTGCCCTTCCGTTGGATTGAGAATCCCAGAGTTCGTGATGTGTGTGTTCATTTGAATAGTCGTGTCCAGGTAATGCTTTAACTTTTTATACTCACTGAACGACTAAGCTTGAAAAAACTTTAACCTAACAGGAGTTTTTTTATCATCTTAGTTCAAACCTAATGGATTGCCATCTCGTAAATATCTCGGAAACGAAGTCTTGAGCGCCATTGCCATAGAAGCAAATGCATCCATCATCGAGGAAGTCCAAAGATCTCAAGGTGTGACCCTTACTTGCGATGGTTGGAAAAACGTATCCAAGGAGTCAATCCTAGGTGTGGTGCTTAACACGGCTAAGGGAAGCAGCGTGGTCTGGGATGCCAAGGATATATCTGGTGAGATCTCAGGAACTTTAGAGGTCAAGAGTAAGCTTGAAAGCTTGCTGTTTGATGCCGCCGAAAAGATCCCTGAAAACAATATCCAGGTGATCGCAGTCGTTACAGATTCGGCAAGTGCATATACTGCTGCTCGTTCGCAATTGCGCCGCGTCCACTAACATATCGTTTGGCTTCCGTGTTTTGCCCATCAAATGAATCTTTGTATCGCAGACATGTTCAAGGCCTTCACTTCGCTGAAGGACTATGTAGCCCAAGCCGTCAAAGTTATTGAAGCGTTCAACCGTTCCCCATATTTGACGCGAAAACTTAAAGATCATCAGACCAGTGCACCGCAACGACGTAGGGTTACCTTGCGACAACCTGCAAGTACCCAATGGAACAGCCATTTTGACGCTTTCAGAAGCTTATGTAATACACAGATTGCATTGAAGGTTCCCATTTTAATTCGTAGTAATCCACGGTCAACTCGAACTTAATGCAACAAGTTATTAATTCATAAATATCTTTAAGCAGCATACCGTCTTGTCCTTGGAAAAAACGATGGATACTCGCTTGCCACCTGAAGCACCAAACATTATCAAGGATGAAACTTTCTGGGTACATGTACAAGGATTGCAATCAAATGGTCCAGCCTTTTGCCACCAGCATCGATTGTTTACAAAGCGACCAAGCAAGGCTGTATCATATTGTTCATCAGTTTGCAAGTATCATCCCACACATCGTTGCAAACGACTTTGTTAAGACGTTACCGCAAGAACAGTTGGGTGCCTTTATCAGTCAATTGGAACGACGCTGGTATCAGTGGGAGCAGCCACTTTTGCTTCTGGCATTGTACCTAAACCCGAATTATCGTCTCAACAATATTAACACTTTCCTGGATCCTTTTCACGGAGACACCGAAAACCGAGGCGTATCTGTTCTCGAGCTTGGCTTGTGGGCTGCGCGATACTTCTCTATATGGACCAGACAAGAATCTCAGAGTATGATGGCGCAAATACAAAGGTACCATGAGTAAGAATACCTATTCAGTGCAAATATGGCCAAGCAATTCCCGTCAATGGAGCGATATTGGGCTATGATGGAGCAAGCCAACCATGAGTGCAAGGATCTGGTGTTCGTGGCTCGCCGCGTGCATTCAATTGGCGTTAACTCAGCTTCCTTTGAACGCCTGTTTAGCGATATGGGATTCATCTACAGCAAATGACAAAACAGACTTGGGTGGGAGAAGGTGCTCAAAATTGCATAAGTCCGAGCCATGCTACAAAAAGAAGATGCGCACATGCGATGGATGCACACTGAAACACCCACGCCCACTGCTCGACCCATGTTACAGCGGATGGAAAGTAGTCAAAGTTTGTATATGGAGGGCAGCATAGACAACATAGACGAACAGGAGCCTGACAACGAAGACATGTATGAAGAAACCATAAATGGATATGTCGACGAGGAAAGTGCCGCTGTTTTGGCGTCCAGATGGAACGTTTTGGTGAACGAATGGTTCAAAATGTTGGATGGAGAGGGTCAAGATTCTT